CCCCAAAACCCCAAAACCCCAAACCTTCATTTAAAAATTAGTAAATTTTAGGAATATCAATACTTTTATTCATTAAGTCAAAAGCTTACTAACGTATTAAGGCCTATCAGTAATAATGCCATCAATGCAGCCCATCTCATTAATCAATTTTAAATCACTTTCATAATTTGCGACCCAAACCATAGTATGGATGCCTCTCTTTTACAAATGTCTGAATAAAGGCCCTCCAGTTTGATACATTATCCAAATAACCCAATCTTATATTTTATATTACAGAGAGTCAGCTCCATATTACTTTTATTCCATAAATTTGTAAGCTTCATTCTGCCAAGGCATCTGCAGAGATTAGAAGTCTAATTTCATAAATGGCAATAATCCTGTGAAATACATAGCATAAAGTTTTAAAACATCTAGACTAGAGGCAAATCTCTTTGCTCTATTTGTCTATCCATTCTAATTCCTATTCTCTTATATTAACAATAAATGATCTTTCTGCTTTTAATTAATGCTACTCATGCCCCAAATAGTTCGCTCCAACTTATTATGCTTTACTAATAATTCATGCACTGCTTCAATAACCTTTCTATCGGCATCTTTGAATTCCATATTCAACCAGACTTCATTGTTAGTGTCAATAACTTTAAGCTTCTCTAGTAATTGCTCTAGTGAATTTATCTTTTAAGAATCAGTTTTCTACTTCTTATAAATAAATCTTTCATTTTTTTCCTCATTTAAAGCAAATTCAACATTTATTTAATCTGTAAGTTGCGGAAAATCCTTAAAATTGAAGTCTCTAGTAAACTTCCCATGATTACATGTCCTAACAAATGCCTTATCATGATGAAGAACTGGAATCCCATCCTTTGAACATTAAATGTCGAATTCTAGCATTCTAACCTTGGCTTTAGTAACAGATTGCTCAGCTGCAGGTACTGTATTTTCAAACGCCTCATGACATCCCAGTCTATGAGCACATACTATCACTCTTTTATCACCGTTAATATCTTTTCTATGAGATTCTTAGGGATGTAAGATATTTGGATTTAGGAATAAAATAGAAGAAGAAGAAATGTAAGAGATGCAGCTGTATTTAAATAATTTACGCATAATTTTTATTTAATTAACTTTTATAAATATATCTAACGTTACTAAAACAGTTGCTTAGGGGTTTTGGGGTTTTGGGG